GCCAAATTAAACGAAAAGAAAAAAGAAAAAGAAAAAGGAAAAATAGAACGAAAACAAAACAGCGTCGACAGGCGCACGGTGGCTTTTTTTTTTTTTTTTAATACTCAAAATTTATGGTTCAGAGCACAGCCATTTCCTTTGGCAAAAGCCTCACGTGCCAACTGCTGCATATCGTGGTTGTTGTGTTGAGAGTTTGTTGATCTCCTCAGACATTGGAAATGTCTATGACATTATAAATTCGGGAAAGGGGGGGGGAGGGGGGGCTTTCGTAGCATTGAGGTTAAGGTGTTCGCCTCTCATTCAAGGGTCACTGGCTCGAACCCGGGTAGCGACGGAAACATTTCTTCTTTAAAATTGTCTCCTTTCAGCTCCTTTCCTGCTTTCTAGTAATATTCTGTCGTCTGCTTTTATATCCTCTTTCTGCCCCCACCCCTCACCTCCTTTGCCCCCTCCTCTGGGCCCCTGACTCTTTCTGCAGCCTTTCTACTGCTACTCCCTGGCTACTTCTTACTGCTGTCTTTGAGCCACACCTCTGATCTTCTGGTAAGAAAAATCTACATGTAGCCTTCTCTTACAAGGGCGAAAAATCTCAGAGGTCCAGTGTGTAAGTCGCACACTTTAAGGATCTCTTGGTGGTCTAAAATCAACAAAAGTAGGCTTCGTCCGCAACCCGGGCAAAATTCAAAATTTCCTACCAAATGATAATGTTTTAATGTATCCCACGCGCTGATATGACTTTAATATGCCGTATGCAGTTGCGAGCGCCGTAAAACGTTGGCAGGATGGTTCGAATATTAGGGGAATACTTCACTCTTAGTATACGGCCCGCCATTTCTGCTGGCGCATGGCATCACTCGATCGGTTACAGTCACTGCAAAAGTATTTGTAAAAAAAAAACTTAGTTAATCCTTGTTATCTAATTATCGAACTATATTTTTACTACTTGGATAATTCATCTGTTCTCAATTCGATGTCTGTTTTGTGTAAATACGTTAATTAAACAGAGGTAGAGTTTTAGAGAAGTTTGTGATACTGAAAACTTAAAAGAGGAAATTCAAATTGTTTGAGTGCGGAGGAAATAGCTTTCTGTATCAAAATGTTGACAAGCAAGTGTCGTCGACACAGGGTTTAGATGGGTTGTCACTTGTATGTGTCCTTGAGCAAGACAAAAGTACCCTAGCTAAAAATAAAACCAAGGCACCGCACAGCAGCAACCAGCAATGGCACGTTTGCAAAATTGTTCAGCATTGGTACCATGGTATGATATTGTTTATTTGGTATTCCGTGTATGTATCTCTACATGTTATATTTATGAAAGTCTGTCACTTTTGCCGCCTAAATCTTCCGAACCTCTTAACTTTCGAATCTGACAAAATTAGTGGTGGTTCAGAATCATTTAAAGGGCGCACAATTTTAGTGGGGAGCTTAAAATCACTGTTGTATATTTTTCAGGTTTAAAAAAAATTAGTTTCGTTTAGATCCATTGTTGGGAAAGTCCGTCTTCTAAAACGCCTTTGTAAACAAGTGAGGTTTCCGTTCACTAGCCGTGCGCACTCATTCCATACGTTTGAAATTCTGAAGTGTACAACCACGAAAGCGGAATAGAGAATCTATCTATACATCTCTATATATAATTATTATATTTGTGAAAGTTCGTCACTTTGGCCGCCAAAAACTTCCAAACCACATTACTTTCGAATTTTCAGTTTTTCATTAGTTTCGTTTAGATCTAATCTTGGGAAAGTCCGTCTTCTGAGACGCCATTGTAAACTAGTGAGGTTTCCGTTCACTAGCCGTGCACATTCGTTCCACACTTTTGATATTTTGGAGTGTACAACCACGAAGGCGGAATAGAGAATTAATCTATACATCTATTATATATTAATTTGGCAACTTTGAAACATATGTGTCACTTTTCTCTCATGATTTATTGCTCCATTCCAGTGTGTAAGTATAGTAAGCCAGTTGATTTTAATCCACCGATCATTCCTTTCATCGAAAGGGGGCCAAGCTAGTCTATTATGTATTTGGCAACTTGAAAACACATGTGTCGCTTTCCCCATAAAAACTACGACAGCTGCAGAGTTGAAACTTGGCAGGTACCTACATAAAGGTACATACGTCCCCATGACCCAACCCGATTTTTGATTTATTCATTTCCTGAATTTAGAAAAAAATATTTTTGACAAAAAGTTGCCGACCTTCTTTGGCTTTTGAGATTATTCCACTGATAAACGAAACAAATCTACGTAGCTGTCCTCCACAACGGAAGTGCCGACAGTGATATTTCGCGAGGCCCCTTTTTTTTGGAGAGTATAGATTCTAATTTTTTAGATTTCTCAAGATTTATTGCTCCATTATATTATTAGGCAAATGACTTACAGTAGATTTTAATGTATCTATCATTCCTGTCATCGAAAGGGGGCCCAGCTGGTAAATAATATGTGTGTGTTTGATTATGCAAAATTGTTGTATATTTGCCATTGTAATCCATATTTCCCACGGTAAAAAAAAGTATGATTTATTCATTATATTTTCTTTTATTATCTCGAATTTCGAGCTTTGAAAATAACGTAAGTTGTGCTCCGTCATAGAGTTACGCATGGTTGAGTTCGTTGGGTTTCTGTAGGACTCTTAACAACGAAGACAAGCTGCCACGCTGTGGCTGAAAAACCTCCTTTCTGAGTCGGGACAACAAATTAATTGCTGTTTTTAACCCTATCTGTACGCCCTTGGGTCATGTTGTACCCCCGGGGTTGCTTTCTTCACATTTTAGAATACTTGTACTTCTAGTGCAAAGATCTCTTTGAAACTCAGTATTTCTCAAAAAATCATTTTGACAGACTGCTATGCAAAGCGTAGGCAGATCAGATTAAAGAGTAAATTTCCTCTTTGGAAAGTAGAGGCACAAGATTTAGAGTTACCCACGTCGTATGGATACGATAGTAAAACACAACTTACGGAAAGGGTTAAATCCTTGTATAACTTTGTATGATAGAATTGTATACATTTTTGTATGTGGGTGGTTGGTGGATGCTCTAGTGTGGTTTGATCCTTCTTTCCTATCAAACATCTATCGGGGGCTCTCATGGCCTAGAGGTTAAGGTGTTGGCCTCTCATTCAAAAGTCCCGGGTTCGAATCCGGGTAGCGACTAAAAAATTTTCTTCTCTAAAATTGTCTCCT